CAATTTTTTTTTTTTTTCGCATAGGATGTCACTATGCAAAATATATATAGAATGCAAGAAAATATGAATGGTTAATAGTTTTCTAATTTTACGGAAACAAGCATAACATAATTCAATGGAAAGTTTTTTCTTCAACTATAATAAGAGTCAGAGATAATCATTATCTGATTTAGTTTTGACGGACCAGTTACACGTTGATTATCTTGTGGTGACGATGACTCTCCAACAAATTAAACAAAAAATATTGTATAATAAGGAGATTTTCCGTAATATATGATATGGCTTTCTCATGTTATTCTCAAACTGTGTAATATTGTTGTACTAGTACAACACCCGTGTATTACACGGGTGCTTGCTATTTTTTTTTTCTTAAAATCTAAAATTAATGAGAAAAAATAGTTTGAAAATTTAAATACCTTTTATAAGAATATATATATATTATTATATATTTATTATGACACTTTAATTTGTGCAACTTACTTGTGTTACATTATACTAATTTTTTTTAACTTTACAATATATAACTACATTACATATAAATATATTAATTGAGAAATAATTTTATTTTTCTAATGAATTTTAATAAATATTAATATTTTTTATTATTATAAAGATAAATATAATTAATTTATTTCATATATACATATGGATGTCAAATCTAAGATCATCAAAAGATGATTAATTTGATATATTATATATGTAAAACCGACAAGAAATACAGAAGTTATCAACTTTTAAAATACATTTATAATTCAATAGCTTATTGAAGGAAACAAATCAAAATTCAAGGATATATTAGTTATTTAGTGCCTCACTATGTAAAATTACAATGAATTAAAAGGATTATATTAGTAAAAGTGATATTAAAATACCTAAGTTAACTAAATAATATTTATGGATTACCCGAACCAATTATTAATCCTCCCTATATATAATTCTCGAATGCGCTGAGCCTACATGGCTACTTCTGATGCTTCAAAATCCTACTTGGCGAATAATCATGCTTCGTAATTAGGTTTGGATAAATAATATTGAGATAATAATAATTAATAATGTAGGTCCGGGTATTCCATAAATATTATTTAGCTAACTTAGGTATTTTAATATCACTTTTACTAATATAACCCTTTAATTCTTTGTAATTTTACATAGTGAGGCACTAAGTGACTAATATATCCTTGAATTTGATTTGTTTCCTTCAATAAGCTATTGAATTATAAATGTATTCTAAAAGTTGATAACTTTTGTATTTCTTATCGGTTTTACATATATAATATATCAAATTAATCATCTTTTGATGATCTTCGATTTGACATCCATATTGTATATATGAAATAAATATATTTATCTTTATAATAAAAAATAATGATATTTATTAAAATTCATTAGAAAAATGAAAATTATTTCTCAATTGATATATTTATATATAATGTAGTTATATATTGTAAGTTAAAAAAATAGTATAATATAACACAAGAAAGTTGCACAAATAAAAAATGTCATAATAAATATATAATAACTAGTACAGATCTCGTGCGATGCACGGAATGCACAAAATTAAGGTTATTTATCAAGTCTTATAATTATATAAATGAATAAAGAAAAATGTGCGAGATATATATACTACGTGACCTGTAATAGACCAAAATGTGAACAGGGGTGATGCACGGGTTGCACAATTTTAAGGTCATTTATTAGTACATAATCCGTGCGATGCACGGGGTGCACAATTTTCAAGTATGTGTAATACAAATACATATCGTATGCACTGGACAGAAACACTAAATGAGTTAGTTGCACAGAGCTTGCCAGTTAAGTAGCTCCTGAACACGGGTGCACAATTTGTAGTACGTACTATAAAATCAGAACAAATTTCCATACAATTAGATAATAAATTAGATAATAAATAAAGCCTTTTTTATTTTAGTAAAAATTTTACGTACTTTTTTTTTACTTGTCGGATGTTATAGGATTTTTTTTGTTAAAACGATTTTATGGGATATAATACAATTAGAGGATTGAACAAAATCAGAACATATTTCTATACAATTAGATAATAAGAAGGAATTAGATAAGGAAAAAAAAAAATTAGATAAAGAATTTTGAATCTACCTTTTTTCTAGTATAGATAGACTTTACATACAAATTTTGACTTTACCGATTTTATGAGATTTGTTTTGACAAAATCAAAGACGAACACTGAAGACTGTTTCTATTAACATTTACACTGTGTATTTAATGTTTTTTCTTAGCCAAAATATTCTTTTTAAGTGTGATATATAAATATAAAAAATACTTAACATATTTTATAACATCTATAAAAGCATCTAAAATATGTTATATTATTCACAAAAATTGTTTGAAGCTACCTAAATTTTTCTAAACTATCTGTAAGGAAAATATGTAAAAAAAAAATCTTCATTTAACCTCCCTATATATATATAGAGAGAGAGCAAATGTTTAAAAAAATTTATACAAATAATATTTAAAAGTATCTAAAATATTTGTAATCAGACAGGTAAAATTTAGATTTTAAAAAAATCTATATAGATAATGAATTTATAGTAGTAATTAGACTTTTATTTATTTACTTTTAAAATTGTTACGATAGAGGGATGTGATTTTTTTACTCGTGGAGATGAAATTTTATAAGCTGGGTTATGAAATTTTTCTTAAACTCGTCCATATCTATGCGATGAGTTTTTTTAAATTGTGTATATAGATTTAAAATTGTAAAAAAAAAAAAAAAAACTTTCATAAATCATTTGATTTGGTATTTTCGGAGAGCTTCATTAATTTGAAAGTGTAAAATAAATAAAAGAAAAAAGTACAACTGAAAAAGTTATAATCAATTGTATGGAGAATTAAACTAAATCTAATTTTGTAGAATGCATTAAGTATTGGTTAGATTTTATATGTAAAATAAAATAAAAAATAACTGGAATAGTTTTACGTATTGCAATATTTTATATTTTAAAAAATTAAAAAAAAAAACTTCTTTTACGTATTCCATACCAACATTTTAGGAAATACATGGATATTCCTAAATTAATATTGCATACTCAATATTTTAGGAACTAATTATATGCTAATTTGATTTGCATACCAAAAATATTAGATTCATTAATTAAATGCTTGATAAAAATAGCAAATCATTAATTAGGGTTGACTATTCTACATACTACATTTAGTAAATAGTATAGATTTTAATATAAGTATAGATAGATATATATATTCTTGTAAAAGGTATTTAAATTTTCAAACTATTTTTTCTCATTAATTTTAGATTTTAAGAAAAAAAATTAGCAAGCACCCGTGTAATACACGGGTGTTGTACTAGTTATTAATATATCAACATTATTTATCCAAATCTAATTACGAAGCATGATTCTTCGCCAAATAGGATTTCGAAGCACCAAAAACAGCCACGTAGGCTCAGTGCATTCGGAAATTATATATAAGGAGGATGTGTAATAACTTTACTAATAAGATGGATATTGTCATGCCGAGATTTTCTGTCACTTTCCTAAACAAGATGGGTATTGTCGTGCCGAGATTTTCTGTCATAAAACTTCACTATTCTAAATAAGCTGGGATATATTGTCACGCGAGTTCCTTTAGCCAAGGAATGATAGCCTATCATGCCTTTTTTTGGCTTTATATTCTCATACATTTTATTGGTTGATTATTATGATTATGACTCTAATAGGACATCACAATAACTCGTTTCCTTTTTATTTTATACATATTATTTATTGGTTGATTATATTTTATTTTGTTTTTTTTTTTTTTGAAAATTGTAAGATTTTTATTTCGATAAAAAAGTTTTGAAAACGACATCTTGACGTTATAGTCAAATTGCCCCGTAACATGCACAAGGTCAATGGCAAATGCCTACAAGATACGACGACTTTTGATTTGTATATATTAGTATTTTAAATATACAAGTCATTCGGCGAACAATACTATTATCTGAACTCTCAAGACTCAGCGAAAAAATCAAACAAAACAATATGCTTTTATGAACATTGAAAATGTAATGCAAGAGCTCTTAATTCAAGTTATGAATGATCTCATATATTTGAGTGTTTATAGACGTCGAAAAACACCTCCAAGATGTTTATTTAAGTGTCAAAAGATACCTTTTAGGACGTATCCAAACAAGAACGGAAGGCATCTAGAGACCAAAAGACACCTTATGGTCACCAAGGGTCGCGACCATCCGTTGGACGCGGCCAGCTGCATCGGCGCACGAGCTCATCCAGTCAGAATCGAGTTTTATATTCTCCTACTTGTCCCTGACGAACTCTTCTAGAGTTATAGCATGCAAGATGATGATCGGGTCTCTTTTCGATTATCATAACATTCGTTTATAATAAAATATTTTGCGAATACAAAATATTGATTGCAATACTTTTTATTTTCCTACATTTTTCAGTTACTTTTACATATTGATCTTTTCACGTTAATCAATCTTGAAATTTAACATTAAACCACAATCAACAATCAATTATAATTAAGTATAGAAGCTAACCGTTAAATTTTATATCAATGTAATATAATTATATTTTTATAACTATTTTATTATATAGTAATACTAACTAATAATAAATATAAGAAAATTACTTATCAGGAATTCCATTGCAAACTTTTCTCTTAAAGCTAGTTATGTTGATATTAATATTCTTTTTATATCATTAAGCTTTTTTCTTTAGAATTATCTCATTAATTTTAATGGCATAATCAAAACCCCTTAATGTTACATAAATAATAATCATTAGACCCTATTTTCTTGTTTTTTTTTTTTTATTCAGCCACGGTA